AGTAGAGTGCCAGGTTATGCAAAACTTGGTTAACAGAAACAGCTCTGTAAATCTGGCTCTTAATGTGGAAGTGATTAGAAACCCAATTTTTATCAGATTGTTTGTTGGTGAAAGAGGAGCTTGGGGAGTTATTATTTATCTTACTGTAAGGCCAAAATGTGCCTATTGTTTAAAGAAAAACTTACTAATTCATTTACCTAGCCTTAAAGTCCTTGGCATAATATGATTCCTAGGCTGTAAGTGGGTAAATTCTCTCTTAAAATTATCAAGGTCACATGGCTGGTGGCACAAGTCTGTAATCCCACCATTTGAGAGAGGTATTGATGCAGGAGAATCACAAGTTCTAGGCTGCCCTGAACTACATAGTGAGACCTCATCTCAGAGCAGAAATGAGTTATCAAAATAAAACATACAAGTGAGTAAATGGTTAAAATAGAAAGCAGTTGCTATTCTTTCATCTTTTTCTACCTCAGCACTGTATGGTAGAGGAACCCTCTTTATTTCAACTGTTTTCCTAGGTTCCATGATAGCTCTAAATAAAATCCGTATGTGTCCTTTCCACAGCTTATTAGCTGTGGAAATAAGTGTATACCATCTAGTAGTTTCTTTGAAATATGTGAAATTTGAACTACTTATAGCATCTTTTCATTCCCTTATTTGTCTCAAGTTTGATACATATAGTAGTTTTTAAAAATCATTAACAATTGAAAATTGAAATAATATTCTCATACTGCTATCTCTCTTTTTTTTTAAATCAATTTTTGAGTCTTTGCTTTGGTTTGTTTTTGTATTCACAGGTTTTGAGATTTTAGAAATCTTTTCATTTGTTCACTTCTCTTCCTATTTTCTTCTGGTCAGTATAGACAAAATACCAGGTAGGCAACATTTATTCTCTGTCTTGCAAGAGAATAATATTTTTCAAATGTATTTAGGCTGATTCTAAAAGTTGAAAAAAAAATCTATTAACTCAAAACTTTATCAAAAAGATTGCTTTTATTTCTGAAAGTAATGTTCCAGTGGCAATGTTCCTTGTACCAGTTGAAATGAGATAATACATCGGTATCTGTGCTTTGTCTTTTGGAAGGTTCTTAATTGTGATTCAATTTCTTTAGTAGATACAAGTCTATTTATTTTGTTTATTTTTTCTTCCTTAAATTTAATAGACTGAGGTGGCCCACTTTCTCTGTTCATAATAGGCCTTTGTTAAATTTTTAATGTTCATGGGACTCATTGAGGTGACCCTTGTTTCATTTCTGGTATCTATAATTTGTGTCATCTCTCTTTTTCTTGGTTGTATTGTCTACAGGTTTATCAATTTTATTGGTCTTCTCAATGCATCCGTTCTTGTTTCATTTATCTATTAATTTCTTATTTCTATTTCTGATTCCATTGATTTTTCTGTTCCACTTTTTATTATGTATTTTCTTCTGCATTAGATTTAATTTACCCTTTTTTGTTTTTTCTAATATGGAAACTTAGATAATTGATATGTGTTTTTTAAAATATATCCTATTAAGTATAAATTTTGCTGCATTCTACAAAATCTTATAAATTTTGATAACTTGTGTTTTTCATTTTCTTTGACTTTGAAAAATTTAAGTTCAAAATATATATGGTGATATAGTTGAGTTTATTTCTAAGTGTATTCTCTTCAATTATAAATGCATTTTCTCTTTGCATTTCCATGACGATATTGGCCTGAATGCTCTCACCTCTCTGTTATCTCACTATGATTGGACTACTATTTTTCAGTTTCCATATTCTCTTAACTTTTATTCATGAAGAAAAATCATTTGGAGAAACCTATGAGCAAAGAACGTGAAGGGTCAAATTGTTAAAAGAGTGTAATACTGACTTTTTTAGTTTCACAGAAGAAATTCTGTTCACAAACTTAAAGTGAGTGATCCTGTTATTGGTTGATGGCTTATTTTTGAAGAAGTACATATGTGACTACTCACTAGGCAGAGTTTGGGGTGATCATACTCAAGATCAGCCCTGAAAATGTCAGCAAGACCCTATCTTAACAAAAGAATTTGGGTGTGGTGGTGTATAGCTGTAATACAAGCTGTGTGGGAAGTACAGGTAGGAGGAGTGTGGTTCCAGGCTAACTAGAGCAAGAATCAAGGCTCTAATTAAAAAATAACCTAAGGCAAAAAGGGCTGGAAGCATGGCTTAAATGATAGAGCACATGCCTAGCAAACACAAGGTCCTGAGTTCAAACCCCAGTATTCCCTCACCCAAATATAAAAAGTAATGGTGAGTTCTTTCTCCAGTGGCAAACTAAATGAATCATACAAGCCATTCACATTTAATTTGGTCTATATACATTTGATTACGATTTATAATGTTTAATTATTCTATGACACCCATTGTATGTGTATTTCTTAAGCAAGACAACCAAATACCCACTAATAAATTTAAGACTCATAAGAAGTTTTATCTTTTCATGTACATTACAAAAATATTTATTATGGTTTATAAGATACTTAGATGTAGGCATCTTCAAGATCCAAAATTCAGTTGAAAAGAAACCAAGTAATTTTTTTTGAAATTAGATATTTTTACATAAGAAGCCACACCTAGACCATGCTCCTTACTTCCCACTCCATTTCTATTCAGTCTTCCAACTTGAACTCCCCATTTTCTGAGGAACTTATTCTGTGCTAGGTTTCCCAAGGCCTTTATAACTCTTCTCTCTTATCTTCTTCCTTGTTGGAAAGCTAAAGTATTTTACCTCTCAGTTTTTACTTTTGTCTATAATGTAGATATTACACATACACAAGGAGAAGTTGTTTGGTGATCCTAATGTTTTGCCAACAATGGACTCATAAGTGCAGGACAAATTGCCACTGTAAACCTACAAAAGGATGATTTAACTCTGAAATGACCCAACTTTAGGTTCCCATGATGATGTACAATATTTATGATTAAATTAAAACCTTGGCATCTGGCAATTCCAGAAATTATCACCTTAATATCAAAGAGGGAGCTGTGCTGCCATTCTATTTTACCACAATTTATTTTTAGCTTTAGAATAATTTTTTTGAGTTTAACTTTTTTAATCCTAAAGCTTCTGAAGTTAATTCCTTGTCATTATACTACACAAGCCTTAAAATGCCAGTTGTATTCTAATTGTTGGCAAAATGCATTAACTATGGAAAAGCTGTTATCTCATAGGTGAATGAACAGGGGTTTTCAAGTAACTTAAGGCACATTAAGTCCATTGGTTGGCCATCAATCTATGAAACCTAGACAAGAAATCACATTTTTCCTTCTTAGAAATTTAACTAAAATCAGGAAAACAAAAACCTAACCAAAAGAATGGAAGCAAAGAAAAATTTATAAGTAAACAGTAAAAAAATTATAAGAAAAATTTATAACCCCTCTATCAGAGTGTATAACATGTCAAAGATCTTCAAAAGTTGTTTTGCTTCTGTTGACACTATCAGATAAAAACCAACAGACAATAGAGGTTAAGAAACACTGTCATAAGTTGACCAAAAGAATGACTACAAAATTTAACTGAGCTTCAGCAGTGATAGCGTAAAATTTATAGTGTCAGAATTTACATAGATTGCACATTTATCCAGGCCTCTAGCTTTTCTTTAACTTTGATCGTTTGGTACTTTATGGACTTGCATGTTCACATGTATAAGTTAGGATCCTTTTGGTTCCAAAAACTTACATAAAAAATACAAACTTATTGTGGTGTACATGAATCTATCATAGATTCCAATACATTGAAAGGGATTATTAGAAATGAGAAAAGCTGGGCAACTCACTGGGGACCCCTCCCTCCCTGGGAGCTTTCATTCTTCCTTTTAATACCTCTGGGCTCATCCCTTGTGGTTCCTGGAGTTCATTCTCCACTTCAAGAGACAAGAACCAGGACGGGAAGATCGACTCTCCCCTTGGCTGAGCTCCTAAGCTAGGGAAGTTTCCGTTCTGCACAAATGTCCTGTTAAGGTGCTTCACCATCCCCATAGACCCTTCTTCAAATTTCTTCATTTCCCTTTTGAGTGTGCATCATTTCTTGCCTCAGATTTCTGTTTGATATACTAGAAAGATAATTACCAAAAAAGCTCAAAATTGAAACTTGTGCATGTGTCCTGGTACTTCCCACAAGCTGTATTCTTACACTGACTGTATGTATAGGAAGAGGAGGCAAAGCAGACCTACCCCATATACAACTCAGCCCAGGCCCTTGCCTGGTCTGTATTGTGAATGGGGAGGGGGGGATGAAAAAAGCCAAACAATAGAAATTCCCTTAATATGCTGCCATTAATGCAACTCAGTTCCCAGGAACTCAGACTTTTTATAACTTAGTTTAAAGTTCTAACTCTCAGGCAACAGTATTTGATTAGCACAGTTTTCCTCAGTTATCTGGTTGGTGATGAGTAGGAAGGCAGCCATATACAACAGAAGAAGGATTGTGGAAATGATTCCAACATTACAAATGAGTAGCTTTTGGAAAATAGGGGCTGAGAAGACAATCCAGTATGTACTCATCACAACATTTATTCCTAAATCCTGTAAATTATTTGAGGGAACTGGAATAGATTTTGTTTCCTTCAAATGAGTCAAATTACCCTAGAATGAAATTTGAGGTATTTACATGCACTAATAAAAACACCTTTTCATGTTCATCAAGGAATTGTGAAACCCAGAGCTTCTGCAGCCTACAGTGTCCACTGCCTAATCCATTGTTCACAAATTTTCATCTCAATATCTCAAGTGTTCCAGAGCACTGTCTCACTGTCTAGTTCCAAATGAGGTAGCTGAATACTAGGCTAATATGTCTAAATAACTTTGCTGTGAACAAGTTTTGGTCAGAGTTAATTTGATTTGTTATAAACTATGTACAATAACCAGGGTGAAATCATAACTTTTTCTTGGAATGATAGAAGGAATTATTTGCAAGTTTCCTGTAAAGCTCTAATTACTTTTGTTTTATAACCCTTAATTCCCTGAACAAATTCTTGCAAAATTCCCTTCTAATTATGTGGTCTCAACTGCTGCGGCCGCTGCGGGGCTGGGCAGCCCGGGCACTGCGGGGCTTGGGCGGGAGATCCCCGGCATCCCCGCCCCAGGCTCCTGGCCGCCGGGGGCGCAGCACCGCGCCTGGCTTCCTGATAAAGGTAGAGAAAATGAAAAGGAGAAAAAATCAGTGATTTGTGTTGAGGGCAATATTGCAAGTGGGAAGATGACATGCCTGGAGTTCTTCTCCAACACGACAGACGTTGAGGTGCTAATGGAGCCTGTGCCCAAATGGAGAAATGTCCGTGGCCATAACTCTCTGGGTCTGATGTACCAAGATGCCTGTCGGTGGGGGCTCACCCTGCAGACATATGTGCAGCTCACCATGCTGGACCAGCACACATCACCAGTTCAGTTGATGGAGAGGTCCATTTACGGTGCAAGATACATTTTTGTAGAAAACCTGTATAGAAGTGGGAAGATGCCTGATATGTGGTTCTGTCCGAATGGTTTGACTGGATTGTGAGGAACATCCAGGTGTCGGTGGATCTGATAGTTTATCTCCGGACCACTCCTGAGATCTGTTACCAGAGATTAAAGATGAGGTGCAGGGAAGAGGAGAAGGTCATTCCACTGGAGTACCTGGATGCTGTTCACCGCCTCTATGAGGAGTGGCTCATCACAGGAAGCCTCTTCCCAGCTGCGGCCCCTGTTCTGGTGATCGATGCTGACCACAGCATGGAGAAAATGTTACAGCTCTTTGAACAAAACCGGGCCTGGATGTTTACTCCTGAGAATTGGAAGCGTGGCCCGTAGGATGGGAAAAGTCTGCAGACCATTCCAGGAAAATACCCGTTAGCTATCAGGAGCAAATTGAAAAAATCTCTTACCGGGGCCTCTTATTTGGCCAGATTTATTTTTCTAATGACCTTTTCCACTTGGTCGGTGTCTTCACCATGGGACCAGTGGGTTTGTCTGCTGGCCCTTCGGTATTTGCAGCTGCACATTCCCCCTGGTGGCTTCCCACTGGGTCCCTCCATGGAAGCCCTGAGGAAGGACGCTTGCATCATGCTGGGTGCTGGGTGTTTTCAGACCACCTGGCAGGGTGGGGTGGGGTAGTAGTCTTACATCCCAGGTGAGGAGTTGAAGCTCAGAGTTCAGGTTCCACTGGACAGGCTGCCTCTTCCTGAGCACCACTCCCCACAGCCCTGCCTCCTGTTGCCGCCCCTTGCACCTTCATGGGGAGAGCTGGCAGTGCGTGGAGCTGATCTGAGCTTCTGATTAAGACAGCCAGCATTGTAGACTTTCATAAAACCGTGCTGTTTGGCTCAAGCCAAGTGGTCTGTGGCTTCCTGACATAGGCGTTGCAGCCTCCACCCCTCCATCATCTGGATTTCAGTGGCTGCAGAAGAATCCCAAGTCAGCTCCTGAATGGTGCCCAGTCTCCTTAGGGATGAAGGTGCTGCCCAGCAGTCACCATTTCCATGTCAGGAAGTAGGATTTGGGGCCTGGACACTTTGACTGTTTCCAAGCAAGGCCAGGAGCAGCCTGCCCTGGCTTCCAAGGCTCCCTCACTCCCTCACCCCCTCATGTCCTCGTGTGAGGAGCTTTGCCCTTAGAATGACTGAGCATTTGTGACCCAGGGAGAGAGAGAAAAATGGCCTTAAGTGTTTTGGAATGTTTTTGCATGCAAGGGGACCTAACAGGTCATAGAGCATGACACTGTCATTGGATCAGCTGTAATGGTCACTGAAGGGGCAATACATCATGAACCAAATGGAAAGCAAAAGAAAGGCAGAACTTTCTCTCTGTGGACAGTCTGAATGGAAAAGTCAAGGTTGGCCAACAAAGGCTCTTGATACACTGCAGCTTCTGGTGTTCTGGAGGTGGGTGGAGAGTGCCCCAAGAAAACTGGGCACAAGCACAGGAGGGGTTATTGTGAACTCTGGAGAAATACAGCAAATGCAGTTCCCCCAATACTAAATATGGACACCTGTGGACGTGGCATTCTGTCTCTCAACAGGTGCTAAGTGGTCAAGGATTCCAGGTCCTTTCTGTTTGAGCCAGTTTTGGGCCCTGTCAGCAGGATGAGGAATGGACAGCAGCAAAGTGGGATAGGGGAATCGTGTCCAGCAGCACCTGCAGCCCAAATGCTGGTGATTAACCAGAAAACTGAGGAAGGCAGGTACCTTCGTTCAGGAAACCTGACATACTGGGGCCATCTTTGGGAATTTGTAAATGAGCAATCCAGTACTTCCCCTCAACTGAGTTAGAGCATCTGTTTTGGGAGAAATGTCATTTTTCTCTAGCTCAGTGGAAGTCAGTAAATCTTTCATTTGAATCCTGGCGTTAATTTTCAGGTGCTTCTTATGCTAGTGACTTTAGCTCCCTGCAATATCCTTTTTTATTTAAACACTTTTTTTCCATTTTTATTAAGATATATTTCTTGTACAGGGGGATTCATTGTGACAATTCCAAATAGTCCCTGCGATATCCTTTTGCCAGTAAGATAATGTGTTCTTATTTTTAAACACCATGTTTCTTTTTTATTATTATAATTTTTATTAGATCCCCACCTCCCCCCGCACTACACCATGTTTCTTAATATGTTGTGTAAGGGTCCAGAGAAGCCTGCTTGTCCTCACACCCTGGCATCTTGGAGAGCAGTGGTTGGGGCTGATTGCCAAACCTTCCATCCCAGGTATCACACCTGAAACAGCCAGAGCCAGGCTTGTACAGGACTGCTGTCTTGTGTGACGGGGACTGGTGGAAGCAGGTGTCATGAAGTGGTTCCCAACGTTGCCATGAATCTGGGCTGGAAAAGGCAGATGGCACATGGTAGACATGACAGGGACTAGTTCTTAAGACACAAGGAGGCCTCCTGAGAGCCTCCCAGAAATGGCTAAGAGAATCATGGCAGAAGCTGGCATCCAAACATATTGGATTCACCCTGTTCTTACTCTGAGGCTGAGGATCTATGTCAGTATATCCAGAGCTGCCTAGGCTGCTTTGACTCCTATGAATTTTTTAAAAATTATCAAATAATATACATATTTTCTTTCAGTTTTATTTTTAGTAAGATTTAATTCATATTTAAGCTTTTTGTTTTACTTACGTACCATACTATTAAAACCATTAAAATAAAAAAAAATAAACTATGTACAATAACCAGGGTGAAATCATAACTTTTTCTTGAAATGATAGAAGGAATTATTTGCAAGTTTCCTTTAAAGCTCTAATTATTTTTGTTTTATAACCCTTAATTCCCTGAACAAATTCTTGCAAAATCCCCTTCTAATTATGTGGTCTCAACTCCTGTATACTTGAAAATCCACTAGGCTTACTTTGGAATATTTAATGGCATGATTTGCCCTACATCTGAATGTACAAAGAGGGCTAGATATTTTCTGAGATGCAAACACAGACACTCCCTTGGCTAAGGAAAGCATCTTATGTGATAGGAAAATAAGTACAAAATGTACCAGAGTTTTCTTTATGTATATGAAGAACATAAGATTAAAGTGAATTTTTGATTTGTAATAATGTTAGTAATATTTCACACTGTTATCTCATTAAGCTATGCCATCTATGCTTCAAGTGATTAATCTTTCATTGAATGTACTCAGAAATTTTATAAACTTTAAGGGAAATATGTAAAGTTGAAGCATAAAAGGAAAATACAGGTTTTTTTAACATGTTATATTTTAAAACATCAAATGTTGATTAGTTATACAAATTCAGGAAAATGTCATCCAGAGTTAGGAAATCTGGAGTGATGTAAATCCAGAGGCATTCCAGAAAAAAATACAATCCAGGGTTTTCTCTCCACTGAATGCTGTTTTTGACATGTTTTCTATTGAAAGAAGAGTCAGCTGATTAATGTGAAGATAATAAAATGCATAATTTCATGAAAAATTGATGCTATTGTACTTGAAATAGTGATTCACTCCATAACATTTCAATAATAGAAAAAGAGAAAAATGAAGAGCACAAAATGTCCTGTTAAGAAGAGTTTCATTTTTAGAAGACTGATGAAGTAGCAGAGTAATAGTGTGAGTGATTAGAGGCAGTGATAAAATAGTCAAAAAGTAATTTTTTCATTGTTAGTTTAATGTATATAAAAGCACAAAAAGGAATTTATTGGGCAAACACATCTATAGAGGTACAACAAATGGCTCTTGATGATATGAAATGACAGTAATTCATTGAAAAATCTTGTCCCTCCAAGGAAGTCTGTAAGGTACTATATTCCTGCTGTCCTTTGATATGTGTGACAAAATAAAAGTTAAAGCATACACTTAAATTGACATAATTCTAGTATTACTTTGAAATTAATTAAGACAATTAGAATTTAATATCATTTGTTTAAATATTATTTATTTTTTACAAAATTAACTATATGATGTAGGAGAGTTGAAAATTTAATAGCTCCAAAGTAGTTTTATATGCTTGTCATAATTCCTGAGTGCTTACAATTATAGTTTGGTTGTTTCTAACTAAGTACTGGGGACAGAACAAGTGAGAGTGGGAGAAAATAAACATTTGTTGAACTTATTTTATGCATATAAATAGTTATTGACTTGCTATGTTAGCTGTGATGAGAAGCATTTATACAATAAGATTGGCTCAGCATTTCACTAGCACATCTATTTTCAGATCAGTGTATTAGTCATCTTGATCATCCAGTCCAACACTGAGAGACTAGGATATGGTGTGAGGTGGTGGCTTTGTATTCAGCAAAGCAGTGACTGAGTGAAGAACACAGTCAGTTACACTCCAGTAATTCCCCCAAAACCTGAATGCAAAGCACTTGTTGATGAGTAGAGCAGTATTTCCTATGTTAGACATAACCAAGATGAATTCTAAGGGATTTAATGTTTATTATTCAGAGTGGGGTTAATAGTAAGACAAATTGGAAAAATTAATAAATTAAGCAAAAGTAAAGAGGTTTCAATGCTACAGGATTTTATAAAGTAGTATAATACAATAATCTCAAAAAGGGATTTTTATGTTTTATTATAAATGGGCTAAAGTACTCAATGTAAATCTATTCCATAGAATATCTCTCTAGGCCAGTATTTTATGACCACAATTTGGGACATGCTTTTCTAGACCATAACAAATCTACTGTCTGAGACTGATTTCAAATATTTGGCAATACAGGAGTTTCCCATTACAAAGGCAAAGCCAGACTTGAATGAAAGTTTACTTTTGAAGGTAGACTTCAAAACTTCAAGGCAGAATTAAATTTTTCATAGCATTACCTTATTTTTCTTACTCACTTAAAAAACAATTTTTAGAGCTATAATTTCATAATAGAGTTAAACTCTTGATTATAATTAATTTGTGGTAATAGAATTATTCATTTCTATTTGAAGTGATTAAAACAAAACCTCTTTAGTAAAATTATAAACTATAATTCAAGTATTACACGTGTCTATTCTGATTAATTCAGTTTCTAAAAAATTGTTATGGAGAGAAGAAAAGTTTTTTTCTTTTAAACAAAATTCTTTATACATTTGAGCAAAACTGTTAATTGAACTGCATTATCAATTTTGTTAATCTATTTTTGGTATTAGCTTTAGTTGATTATAAGATATAATGGTTTAGAAAATGTTGTTGCACTATTATTTCCGCTCCACAATTCATTTTATTAATCAATAATATTTTAAAGAAAACCAAATTATTCATTTATTGTTAGAAACTTTGGCATCTTTACCTATCTAAAAGTTCACACTTTAAAATAATCAAGCAAAATAAATAAAAAGTCTACAGGTTGGAAAGGAAGAGAAACAACCAACTTTATTTGTGGGTGG